ATCTATCTATCTATCTATCTATCTATCTATCTATCTATCTATCTCAGTCTGGTTATATCTATCTGTGCACTATAGCAATAGTAATGTTGATGAGTATAACAGCGTGTGTATGTGCGCGCGCGAATACATTTCTCCCCTATTGAGTCAGCTAACCAGATTAGTCATTTGAATGTTTCTGAATTTATTTGATATATGGTGGACTCTCCCGTCGTATTCGACGTATGAGGGTCAAGCAGCTCAGTTCCTAGGTACCGACAACCCAGACACCAGTACATATAATTTGATTATAGTGGTGAAGACTTTGTAGCAGAACCACCACACTTTTTGAAGGGTCGTATACAGAGACCTTGTGCAGGTTTTGAATTCAGAGTTGTCCTTCTCTAGACTAGTTGCCATCCAAGCTATAGAACCGGTCTGTCCTGGTATTTACCCATAACGGGAGGGAGAAAAAGAGGATTAATACCTTTTCCTTTAGCACGTAAGTGAATGGAATGGATTCGACTGGAATCTGATTCCTCAATCCGAGTTGCTATCCACTACTCCACCGTTCCGTGTGTGTGTGTGTGTGTGTGTGTGTGTGTGTGTGTGTGTGTGTGTGTGTGTGTGGAGTGACTTTATAGACATACTGTGTCGACTTATTTTTATACTGACCCCACTCCAGTCATCTAATTAGTTTCTTGACGAAATTCATCAAAGAAGGTACCGAAGTACATGGGTTTACAAAAACTACGCTGCCTTCCTTGAAGAAGTACAAAAAATCTTTCGTTTTGAGTTAAGTTTAAAGAAAGTTTACAGTAGATGACGCTATGTTGCTATATAGACTAGGTTACATTTGTCATTCGTGTACATTGTGGCTAGTCTGTCTTTAACATTTAACATATTTAGTAGTGAGTTAACTGAGAAGTGTTCTGTTTAAAATGGAAGGATATGAATATTTTAGAAATGATTTCTACCTAAAGCCGCGTGAATGGTAATGGTCGCGAGGCTGCACGGTTGTATCAGATTGCGTTTCCAGAACGAAGCAGCCGAGTCATCCAACCTTTGCTGCACAAGTGGGCCTAGCAAGTCTTACATCTCATAGTAACACGTGGGGAGTACTTCAAGAGCAGCTCCTGTATCCGTATCATTTGCACTGTGTACAGGGTCTTTTGCACTCTGATCACTCACCATGCGAGAACTTTTGCCGGTGTTTTATTGCACAAACTGCCGATCCGTTGTTTGTCTCTTCAGTTTTGTTTACGGATGAGGCAACATTTTGGAATAACAAATTTACACAACCAACAGGTGTGGGCCGATCGTAATCCCCAGGGTACAATAGAGGCTAGACACCAGCATCAGTTTACGATTAATGTATGGGCTGGAATTGTAGGTGACTGTCTGGTAGGTCCATATGTTCTCCCAGCACGAATTACAGGATTTTATTTCGAACACACTTCCAAACCTGCTAGAGGAAATACCCCTGCTAATACGAAGACATATGTGGTTTATGCATGATGGGGCTCCAGCACATTTTAGACACATTGTTCACGGTGCATTGGCTGACATCTACCATGAAAGATGAATAAGCATGGGAGCAATGGGTCCATGGCCTGTACATTCCCCAACCTCAATGCTTTAGATTTTTATCTGTGGGGACACCTAAAATAATTGGTTTATGCAGAAGACATAAATAATGCAAAGGGGGTTGGGAATATTTGAAAGGGTCCGCCAGTCAATGATCCGACGGGTGCATGCGTGTGTAGAAACAAGTCGAGGACATTTTGAACATTTGTTATGAGTTGCTGTGTTGAGGCACAATGATGACCTTTTAGACATATGTTTATATGGACATTTTATCTTGTTTTGGTGTCAGGACCCCCCCCCCAACAAACGTTTTAAAAGTATTTTGGGATTGTATCTTGGATTGTACATTTAGAGCGTCTACCGTAAACTTTAAACTTAATAACTCAAAAACAAAGGATTTTGCGGATATATGTTTGTTTATATGAACTTTTGTCCTTGTTTTGGCTTGAGGAAACCTCTCCCAAAGTTTGTAAAAGTATTTTGATACACTCTGTATATATATATATATATATATATATATATATATATATATATATATATATATATATATATATAAAGAATTAATGGATATTATTTTTAATCCGACATATTTTATTATTTTAAACGTTATTTTTAGACGATATACTCGTATTTGATTTGAGACTTATTTTAAGCAATATCTATCTATCTATCTATCTATCTATCTATCTATCTATGTTCATATCTATCAATCTATCTATGAATCTGTCTATCTATGAATCTATCTCTGTCTCTGTTCATATCTGCGCTATTGAGAAACATATTAAAGCGAACGTGCTCACCAAAATAACATTTTAAGTAATATATATATATATATATATATATATATATTAGGGCAGCAATTTTTCATTAATGCATGTTTTATTAAATAATATAGACAAGTTTTGTCTATTTATTTTAAGTAAGTTCCTTTCATATTGTCTGATAAGCTTAATAACATTATCATTGAAAGACGAAAGGAAAACACCATATTGATACATGTTTAAATCCAATCAAAGCTTTCGGCTTACACAAGCCATTATCAAAGATGACAATTTCAATAAACCAAACAACATACGCACGAAACAACAATGACAGTCCGCCCTTTCTGCATGAAAATTTCCAAGTAACGACAAACTTGTATATACGAGACGCGGAAGCGAAAATCGCGTCGCAGCTCGTGACGTCACGCATAACCACGCGAGAGTGAAAACGAGAAGTATTAAGTATGGGAAGCCGTTGGTATAAACCAATGACTTCTGTTATAAATTATAGGCATTTAAGGATATTTATAGAGATTTGATAGTTTATTTTGTTCAGGTTAGGTTTCAACTGTTTTATGTATAAAGCTTCAAGAATTTTTAATTTTTGTTTATTGTTTTCATGTTTAAGTATAGTTGTGTTGTCAACAAGGATTTTCCGGAAATGAGTATACGGGCAGGTATGTTGTTTTAAATGTCTAAAAATGTTAGAGTTATCATTTAAATGTAGAGTCAAGCGCCGTGATAGCGAGTTTGTGGTGTGACCAACATAAATATTATTTAATCCGTTGGAGATACAATCTCCCAAAGGGCACCTGAATTTGTAAACTATGTTGGTTTTCTGCAAATCGCTAACGGAGAAGGGGGAGAATCATTGCGAATAATTAAGTTGGATATACTAGATTTAGTGTAGTATATGATTCCTAATTTTTTTGCTAGGGTCTATTGTGGATATATTAGTATTTACTCATTCTTTTAGTATATATTCATCTTGTTTATGATTAGTATGCATTTGTCTACGATAAAAGAGATTATTATGTTTGGAATTAGTTGAAGCAGTATTATGTTCTATTTGCGTAGTATTAAGACTTCTAAGAAAGTATTTTATTTGTTCATCAACTATATAGTTTGGAAAGCTATTATTAATAAGTGTTTGTTTTATATTCTTTAGTTCACTGAAAAAAATCTGTTTTGTAGATTAATTAGTTTTTGCACGATGTATTAGATTTTTTTATAATTGCTATTTTGTAGTAATATGGCCATTTACTCTTGTAGTTAAGTGTACATGAATTTATGCTGGTAGGTTTTTTGTATGGCGAAATAGTAAATTTGTTATTATTTGTGTTTATCAATATGTCAAGGAAGGGAATTTTATTAGTAGTATTGAGTTCATACGTGAATTTAATCTACTTGGAAATGTTGATGCTGCAAGGGCGGACTATCATTGTTGTTTCGTCCGTGTGTTGTTTGATTTATTGAAATTGTCATCTTTGATAATGGCTTGTGTAAGCCGAAAGCTTAGATTGGATTTAAACATGTATCAATATGGTGTTTTCCTTTCGTCTTTCAACGATAATGTGATTAAGCTTATCAGACAATATGAAAGGAACTTACTTAAAACAAATAGACAAAACTTGTCTATATTATTTAATGAAACATACATTAATATATATATATATATATATGTGTGTGTGTGTGTGTGTGTGTGTGTGTGTGTGTGTATTGATAATACATAAAGGGTTAATCGTCAGAGTTGAATCAGACCAGGAAACAGTAGTATCAAAACGTGTTGAATACACGTGTGAAAAAACAAAAGTTAAAATACATGTAGAGCTTTAACTGTAAAAATATCAGGAGGTCAGTTGAATCTGCTACCTTGGTTTCAAACTTACGGTATGCTCAGGCAATTTTATCATATATATATATATATATATATATATATATATATATATATATATATATATATATTAATGTGAGTAAAATATGTACTTCAGCTGATTGATGTTACCTTAAGCATCCCTACTCCAGGGTTCCGTAGACGGACCTGTCCCTCCACTCTTCAGAGGATATCACAAATTAATGAATTTATTTTTCAATCCGACATATTTATATTACTTTAAACGTTATTTTTAGTGGATACCCGTATTTGAGTAGACGCCCCGATTATTTTAAACAGTACTTTGTATCAAAGAATATAGAAAATATACCGGATAGCAAATTTTCTTTAATAAGTTTTAGTCGAGTGTGCAAACTGATAGACGAAGTAAAATAATGTTTAAAATAAACGGTGCGTCTACTGAAATATGGGTATCCATTTAAAGAATAAGATTTGCTTGAAGTAATACGAACGTGTCTACATTTGGGTAATCCTGTACACAAATTAGATATTTATGAACATAGATAGATAGATAGATAGATAGATAGATAGATAGATAGATAGATAGATATGAAGAAACTGAGATAGATGGATAGATAGATATGAAGAGATTGAGACAAATAGATAGATAGATATGAAGAGACTGAGACAAATAGATAGATAGATAGATAGATAGATAGATAGATAGAATGATAGAGAGATAGATATGAACATAGATATGAACATAGATAGATAGATACATAATGAACAAAGATACATAGATATGCACAAAAGGTGAAATAGATATGAACAGAGAGAGATAGATATGAACAAAGACTGCAATGGATAGATAGATAGATATAAGAGAGGGAAAGTGTGAGAAAATAATAATAATAATAATAATAATAATAATAATAATAATAATGTACATATGGTAATGGAATGACAAAATAGAAACCTTTTCTTTTTTCCACGGACTTCAAGGTGAGGTCGAGAACTTCTCAGCACGTATCCTCGTGCACGTCCCTCCCTCCCTCTCTATATATATATATATATATATATATATATATAGTGTAACCCGGATATAAGAGACCCGGATATAAGAGAGATTTTCTCTGGTCCCAAATTAGAGCCTGTGTTAATGTATATAAAATAGACCAAACCCGGATATAAGAGAAACCCGGATATAAGAGACTTCTCCGGTCCCGACAACTCTCTTATATCCGGGTTCCACTATATATATATATATATATATATATATATATATATATATATATAAATTGAGAGAGACGTAGGGAGCTATTATTATTATTATTATTATTATTATTATTATTGTAAAACATTTCTTTCCATCAGTATTTTTGAGTTTTGTTTAAAAAAAAAATCATAAAGTTTTACATAGAAAGGAAAACGTTACTATTTTAGAAGTATTAATGTTCAAATTTCGTTGATGCATTTTAAATTAAAATGTAATTAACATTAAATAAAGAAAACTCCTATTATTTTTTTGATATCGCTAAATATCTTGCTTGAGCTAATTTCTATGCAACTAACTTCCAACTCGTAACAAATCCAGAAAGAGAAAGCTAAAAACGTAACGAAACCACACTAAACAAACGCTAAAAGCAAGTAGGGGGCACCGCCACATTATTACTTATGTTAATGACCAAAACAAGGGTATAAAGTGGGGAGTTTTTTTCTCTGTAAGCGACAACAGATACAAATTCCACTTGTGGTCGTTTCGTTCGACTGTACTTAGGTAGCCAAGTGCGAGCGTCCGGGACGTGAAGACGCCGTGAAGTCCCCGGTGCAGATGAACGCGATGCCTACTACCATTGAGGACGCTTGAACGAGAAGGAACGAATTGAATAAATGAATGCATTCACTTTTAGACACTGCTCGCCGTTTTCTGAACCTAACTCTTTACGCTTACAATATCCTCCCCCTCCGTGCATTGCTTCACCTCCTGTCACCATCACGTATTTTTTTTTTATTTTGTTTTGTTTCTCTTCTGTTTCGACTTAATTAGTTGAAGAAGGTAAGTTCTGTTACCAGGCAATAGTGGAGGGCTTCGATATATATTTTCAAACACCCTATTGCGGATCAAATTCACGACTTGCGGAATTCAGGGCTTGTGAGACTAGCTCGTTAACCACTACTCCTGCGAGACTAGCTCGTTAACCACCACTCTACAGCATGATTGACACACGCGCTCACATATACCTTGCCCTGATTTGTTAGTCAAGTAGGTTGCATAGATTCCAGTGGAATTGAAATGATTGTTTCTTTAAAAAAATAAAAAAATCTAATTTGTAACTCTGGTGCTATGCAGTCATTTTTCCCAAGACGAAAACAAAAGGTTTATATATATATATATATATATATATATATATATATATATATATATATATATATATATAACAAAAGAAATGAATTGATGATTTTATGTACGCAAAAATAAATATTTGCTTAAATACGTCGATCCAGATTAATTTTTAAAATTAAAGATTTTATTTTTTTTTCATTTTTAACGCTTATTTTAATTTTCCATTTTTTATTTTTAATTAATTTTTTATTTTTTAATTATTAGTTTTAATGTTAATTACGGCCTATTTTATATATATGACTATTAAATATATGTTTATGTTTTAATAAGAATAAGTTATCTCAATTTAATTTGAAGATTGCGTTGAGCAGGAAACTCATAGTCGTCCCAGCTGTGAGGGATATGTACATTTATTAATATATATATATATATATATATATATATTGAATAAAAGACAGACCACGTTAAAAAACAAAAAAACAAAAAAAAAACATGGAATCTTAACGTGGTCTGTCTTTTATTCAAACATATATGCTCTGAATTTTTACATTGAGCTCTCTGGATATCATCCTCCTCAGGTCTACCCATACGGATTACCTAAATTTGAATATATATATATATATATATATATATATATATATCACTCACTCCCTAATGAGCCAAATGATAACACACACCCACAGCAATACACACGCTTACACATATCATACTCACTCACTCCCTAAGAACCAAATAACACACACACAAACACTAAACAGAGACACATCTCCTCTCCAGGACCAATAAAACTGTCAAACTGACCAAGGGAATTCAGAGAAGCATAGATCCATCCAGCTCTTATTTCAAATAACAACTTAAAAGACTGTTTGACCAACACAAGAAATGTTAAAAGATTCATGTTAAAAAGATAAAGAAAATAAAAAAAAATAAATGAAAACTACAGACAAAAATTCATTTTCTCCATCAAGACATTCATTTCTGTAGTTTACTGCTACCAGCAAGCAGAAATATTTCTTCTCCCGATGATGGCCATTTTGGCCGAAACTAGTCGAAGAATCTAAATGAAATAATAATAAAAAAAACGAAAGAATATTAATCTACAACCCAGTGTGTGTGAAGATTTTAATTTTTTAATATTTTTTTTATTGTTCTATATATATATATATATATATATATATATATATATATACTAATTTTTAAAATAAATATAGCTAAAACTTCAACTTTCTTCCGAAACTTTAGCTTCGAAAATTTCTATATGAGCCGTATATAAGTCTTTTTAGAAACTAATGGCAAGGGAAATTAATGTTTAGAAATTAGTTATTAGGCCACTGACCTTACAAATTATCTCCCTTAATATGGGAAGAGGAGTGAGAACAATCTACCTTCGTTCATTAAATAAAAGGCTCAGTTATAAATTCTCAGGTTACCAAATGCTACAACTAAGATGAAGATAGTCGACCTTAAATATTAATGCAAAATCCTAGTAATTCTTGATCTTGGAAAATGTAAATTTTCATTCAATATGTACGAGATTTTACACACACACACACACACACACACACACACACACACACACACACACACACACACACACACACACATATATATATATATAAGTGTACATTGTACATTGTCAACATCCAGTAATGACAGTACATTCTTAAACACAAGCATCAGGTTCGACTATTTATATACGCTGATTAGTGATGCATTATAGAAGGATCTATTACATTATTCTAACGGTTGTTGGTTGGTCGGCTATTGAGTGGATATAATTGTGGATCCGAATGCAGTTTTGTGGCTATTTATAGAATTGTTTGTTAATCTTATTATTGATTGCTTTGTTCTTTGTTGTCGATTGGCATTATTTACATTTACATATGCTCTACCCCTGTTATTGGGCACTTTAAGCCTTAATTCAGCATACCTTAAAACTTTATTTTTATCATATATATATATATATATGTGTGTGTGTGTGTGTGTGCGCACGCGCGTGTGTGTATGTATGTGCGTGTGTGTGTATGAATGATGGCCATCCGTACCTATCTCAGTATTCTTGTTTACTAGGGTAGCTATCAAATCCCTGTTGCAGACGCCTACACAGGTACTTTTGTATTTATTCAACACCCACAGAACCCACTGTGATTTATACTGCAACTATACTGGGTGGACATTACTTACAGTTTCTGGGAAAGTGCGTATTATCTGAAGGTGATCAACAGTCTGAACAAGCCCAGTATGTTCAAACCCTCGGTCACGATGACTTGCGACTTCGTGCTAGCACAACCATCCATGGCTCCCAGATAGTTCTGTCTACCCAATTTTATTTCCAAGTATTGGGTCAGGTATGGTTGTCAGATATTTTCCAAAATGTCGCCTCCCAAGGCCGATAACAATCACCTTCCTGATAAATCCACTACAATGTGATTCGAACCCAAGTCATACGGTTGGAAAGCGAACGTTTTGAACACACCAACCACGCACCCGTACGTTTAACTTCGAGCATTATTATAGTGGATACGCCGTATTTGAAATAGACGCCCTATGTGAACGGTGTGTATTACGTTTATCGGTCTGCACATTCAGGAAATCTGAATGAATATGTTCTCCGATAGGGATGGAACCTGCGTCCCCAGATCAAACGGTTGTTTCACCTACATAGGGGGACGCACACACACACACACACACACACACACACACACACACACACACACACACACACACACACACACACATATATATATATATGTGCGTGTGTGTATCTATATACAGTATAAGTGGTGTGGACGCAGACTTTAACACACACACATACGTACATAGGCAGGATGTGTGTGTGTGTGTGTGTGTGTAACGAAAGCACGGCCGCAATTTTCGACGGATTTGCACTAAAATTTACATGCACATGCTCCAAGTTAGCGGGAAGGCCAACACCGACTTTGCATTTCCAAACTCCCATCGATAGTGGAAATAATCGATTTTTTCATGCTTCTACGGCACTTTTCATGTACTTTGCAGCCATTTTGTACTGGCCAAGTGTGAGAGCCAATAGCTGGCTGGCACGAATAGGCAGGAAGATTCTATTGGTCAGCATGAGAGCCAACAGCTGACTGACACGAATGTAATATTAACTAGCATGCTAGCATTCAAAAAAAAAAAAAAATCGATAGCTGCATTCGTCACAAGTGGGAAAAATTTAAATCTGCATGGCACTTTACTCCAATTGGCTCATTCGCTTGTTTAAACTCAACGTTGATTCTGATTCCGCAGAACTGGGTTGGTGTGAAAAGTATTTGTTGTTAACATTCTTTTTTCATTCGGTTTTTTCAGTTACGAGTCCTTTTTTAAAGCTGATCGTTTTGTGTTCATTTTGTTTAGTTCTTTTTTCGTAACAGATTTAATGTTTAGTATAGAACTTAGAAAAAATTCTCAGTGTGAGATAGGCAAGAAGTAAGGCATGTAGCAACATCAGCATGACAAAGGGCACTCCTTTAAAGGCAAGGAAGGGCAAAAATATTTTAAGTCAAGTGATAGCGATTGCTGTATGAGTCGTACGATTTTCGAATCAAACATGGGCAACGCCGGGCTATGCTGCTAGTATATATATATATATATATATATATATATAAATGTGGACGCTAATGTCAACGTACTGTAGCGACAGTCTGTTTCACGCTTGAACGCAATATTTAGTGTTAAAGACTCTGTTCAAGCATTAAACAGACTGTAGCCACTCGGTGTTGACCTTAATGTTCACTATTATATTTACACTAGACCAACCACGTTATTTTTCTTTTAGAAGCAGCTTATGATACAAAATGATGAGACAACAACATTATCAATTTTATTATTAATTACACATTTTTATTTGTATTTAAAGACGGTAAAAGAATGTTTATTGTTCCACTGGCCTTCTCAGTTAACACACTGCGTGAAAATTTGGAGTAATAGCTTAAAACAAGTGTAGTCTTCAAAATAATGTATATGTTTTATCATAATTATTTCTTCTTCGCATTTATTTCAAATCATAAAAGGTAAAAGGCAAAAGCAGCAAACCAGCGTGCATCTATTTATTTATTTACCATCAAGTCATGTGACACATCTAGTCCGTTCACCTAGATGTTTATAAAAATTTCTAATGTAGTGTTGTGAATTGTATGAATATATGTTCTGTTATGCATATTTAAATTTATTTAATGATGTTGTCATAATGTGTTATGAATGTTTATTATTTTTCATATACATAATAGTTGCAATATAATATACAAGTGTTTGTTTATAGATGTGGATTGATATAAGAATGTCTATCAAAAAAAAAATACTGAATTTCCTCTTAAAAATGCCATAAAAACAACAAAAAAATGGCCCCAGTACAAGAAACACTTTGTATAATTTTAATGAAATTTGGCACTGCAATTGGCAGGTGTCTAAGGTACAATATGCTCTTAAATTGGTTGGCATATTATGTATTGTTGAACTGTATCTCGGAAATATTTGCATTTACCGCAAAATATAGCATAACTTAAAACTATATTTTCATTATATATATATATATA